CGAGTCACCCGAACAGTCCCCAATATGGCTTGTCCACAGTTTTTTAGACCCCGTTTTTTCGGATGCGATGTGAAAGAGCATGGTCGAATTAGTAGGGCTGCATGGTTTTGAATGTTTAAAAAGTTTATTTTTGATGTTTAAATGGCCGTTAAAGTTGACTACCTCCAAAAACTATCTCGAAAACTACTTGACCAAATTTGCTGATAATTTGTGACAATACCTAATTTGGCGCGGTGATCATTTTTCTAATACATTTCAAAGCATGAAAATCGCCGGAACATTGGAATCTCGCGTACTCAAATGAGTTTTTGAAGAATTACTATTTAATAGGGGAGTCGTCGCTAGCTTCCTATTAAATCGAAAAAATGACATTTCTAAAATTAGCAATAACAGCTCAAAAACATAGATAGCTTTGTTTTTTTGCAACCGGAGGCATGCAATCGGATATTGATGCGAAGTCGAGCCTGATACAAAAAGAGCAAAAATAAATATCGTTTCTACGCGAAATTGGGCTCGGCGGGGAATCGAACCCGCGATGTTCCGTCTGGGGGCACTGGGGACAGCCACTAGTGGGCGCCGCCACCTCCCCAGGCGAACGACCCGAGTTCAATCCCAGCCCCCTTTTAAGAATCGAATTTCTTTTTGCTCTTTTTTGCAATCGCTTTGTTTTGGTCTTTAGATACGAAACATTGTCTTTCTGTTCAGAAATACACAAATTTTTTCTTTTTGGTGCATTTGAAAGTCGTTTTTCGATTTAATAGGAATCTGTCGCCAAGTTGAAAAACACATCATTCGATGTAGAATTTATTTGCGCATCTTTTAAGCGTGTTTCTAGAGTGGCGACGACTTCCTATTAAATAGTAATTCTTGAAAAACTCATTTGAGTACGCGAGATTCCGATGCTCCGGCCATTTTCATGCTTTGAAATGTATTAGAAAAATGATCACCGCGCCAAATTAGGTATTGTCACAAATTATCAGCAAATTTGGTCAAGTAGTTTTCGAGATAGTTTTTGGAGGTAGTCAACTTTAACGGCCATTTAAACACCAAAAATGAACTTTTTAAACTTTTAAATCTATACAGCCCTACTAATTCGAACTTGCTCTATCAGATGGCATTAAAAAAACGGGGTCGAAAAAAAAACTGTGACAAGCCTAGTTCGGCTGTCCGGCAAACGGCCTTTTAAATGTTCAGAAACGCTAAAAAACCCTACATTTTTTTAATTTTCTTTTTTTTTTCTTTTGTTCTTAAAACTCTGTATATTCCAGTAAACAGCGAAAATTCTGCAATTTTGTTGCCAATGAATGCAAGCTCAACATTTTAAATTTTCGGTTTGAAAATGCGTGTTTCATTGCCTCTCCTAGCTCCAAAACTTGCGATTAGTGGAATACGTTGTTATTATCGTTGCTCGTCAAAATTTAGTTATATTTTTCAACACTTCTGCAAGTTAAAGAATGCGCAATTTTCTCTTCCTGGTCATTAAAAATATTATTAGGAGGCACGGGGGCCAAAAATAATCCTTTTGCTAGTCACCAAGTTGATATTTTTAACTCTAAAATAATGATAGCATATCGCTAATTTTAATCACTTCTGGAAATTTATATTATATTTATATTATAAAATAAATTCTTCAGCTAAAATAATCCCAGCCAAGCTTTTGAAAATTCATGTTTCAATTGATCTCCAACTGCCTGGGACCGGTTTAGTGGTACTTCCAGGATTCTTCCTTCTTCGTCATCATCTTCATCCTCCTTCATGCTTCCCAGCCCAGCCGGCGTGGTCCCTTTAAAATTAAAAGCCTGGGATACCGATACCATAAAACTCACTATATTCAGAAAGCCAGAAATTATATTCAGAAGCTCATGGTTTTTCAGTTTTTGAAAATTGAGTGTTTTATCCGGCCCGGTTTTTGAAAAATCAGGTTTCAATTTATGTACGGGCTCTGGAATTGCGACCGTTTTATTTTACAAATGGTGTTGCACAAATAACATTATTATTAACTTATTCAGTTTAACTAAAATAGCCTTCCTAGTGCCTTTAAAATTAAAACCCCGGGCTACGGTAAGGTTACTAAAGGCTGTATGTAAAAGTCAGCAACTTCGAGGTTTGAAGACTTTTTTATAGCACATGGTTTTTTGGGGACTTTGTATATTTAATTAAGGCAATAGATCTATACATCTTCTGACACTTTAGCTTATGATTTATTAATTTTGGTTGCATTTTTATATATACTCCCGCCGAGTTTTTTAAAAATCATGTTTCAATTTATCTACTAGCCCTGCAGTTTGGGGGTCAGTCTATTCAATGGAATTTAACTGACGGGTGCTTTTCCTGTTAATATTTTTTTATTAACTTGTTCAGCATTATTCATCAAGCCCAGCTTCACTAAAATAGCCTTCATAGTCCCTTTAAAAGAAGCAGAAGGCCGGAGGTACGGTAGAAATTATTGAACACTGTTGAACGCCAGAAATTTAAAGTTTGAACTTTTTTTGTCAGGTAGATGATGGCTTTTTAGAAGCTTTGTATATTTAATGCGGCGCTGTAAGTCAGGGCATTTCTTAACGATTTTACTGCTAATTTTTGAGTTCCAGGATTACTTAAACATTTTAGGTTACAAATGCATGTTTCAGTTCATATCCTAGCTCCAGAAATTGTCTTTCGTATATTTATGGCTTTGAACTACTGCGCCCAGAAAAAAATGGGCAATTTGCCTTTTCCAGTCTTTATAAGATTATTAAGGGGGTGTAGACTACGTGAATAGTAGACCTCCCGAACCCCCCATTTACCCCCATACTTGTGGGGGTTGGATGGGGGTCAGAGGGGGGTTGCGAGGGGGGTAGGGTGGGGGTTGGGCGGGGTGCTCGAATGGGGGTTTCCAGGGGTGTTGAAAAGGGGGTCTGGATGGGGGTTTTGGGGGCCCAAGGGGGTCTCGGAGGGTTCGATGGAGGGTTTGGTGAGCATATCAACTTGCGAACATTTTTTTTATTCCATGACATGGATTTTTTGTCTTTTCAGATTTTTGTCAATTTGCTTTTTTGTCAATGATCGCAATATATGAACTTCAGGCTATTTTGATCGAATCAGGAGATGAACATCGTTTTCGAGCAGTTCGCACAATTCGACGCCAATTCGACTGCAACTCAGTTGGGGGTCGTCTGGTAGCATTTCTTCGAGGTTGTTGAACACGGCGGACCATTTCGAGTCGTTTTTTTCCAACCGCGCTAGCAGCGTAAAAAAGCTTGATAGAAATGCTTCAAGCCGTTGAGAAGGTTGCATTTTGAACGCTCTTTCAAACGGTATACTTACCGTTCTCCAACACCGTCGGGGGACAGAGAACGGAGCGTTTTAGTGCCGAAAGGTGTACCTGTCGAAGTTGTCGCCGCACTAAAACCATCATATCTCGAACTGCACTGGGACTCCTGGATCGAGAAGGGCATCAGTCGAAAGAGCGCGAAAAGTTCTATCTGCCCAACGAGTTTCAGCTCTTTAGCAGCTTTGCCCAGCCTGCGAGCGCGGTTAGAAAAAAACGTCCCGAAATCGTCCGCCGTGTTCAACAACCTCGAAGAAATGCTACCAAACGACCCCCAAATGAGTTGTAATCGGATTGGCGCCGAGTTGTGCGAACTGCTCGAAAATGATGTTCATCTTTCATTTAGTAGTAGTTTTAGTAAAATCGGACCGGGCAAATTTCCCAACACTACTTGTGGGGGCACGGGTGGGGGGTTTGGGGGGTTCCGTTGGGGCCGAAGGGGGTACGTATGGGGCCGGGTGGGGTCGGGTGGGGGGTCCATTGGGGGTTGGCATGGGTGTCTGTTGGGGGGTTTTGGTGGGTGTTGCGATGGGGGTAAAAATGGTGTCTTTGGGGGTAAATGGGGGGGTTCGGGAGGTCTAGTGAATAGTGTATAAACTAGCAGCTCGAATTGTAAAAAGATGTGTTTCATTTAAACTCTTGGTCCCTGGATTTTCTGCTCCGCAAGTCAGGACTTGTTTCTGTCCTCAATTTTGCCTTCCCAGTCCCTTTAAAATTACAATTTCTTGTAAATATTAAAAACCGACCCGCTGGCGAGTAGAATCCCCAATTCTGCACTGCCGACGACGGCTCCTTTTTCGAGGAGCAGGTCGCCAAGCGAGGTATCACTTCCGGGGAGCCTGAAAAAGATTAATGTTTCACGGCAGGTTCAACAAAAATATTTCGTAGTTGAGATTAATTTATCACAAACAAAGCCAAGAATTAGCATTTGTATCTTTACGATTTAAATTTAAATTTTTATTTTTATTTTAATAGTTAACGTGTATTTCTGTTCTTTTAATTAATTTGATCAATTGTAAATTCGTTTTTTTGCAATTATTATTTGTTAAGGACTTTCGATTAGGATATTTGTGATGCAAATAGTAGATTTTTTACCCAACCAAGTTTACATTTCGTTCCTTCATGGACTAGGCCTTCCTCGTATTACGATTACTTAACATATTACGCGCTGAAAAGGCGACCGTACGCACAATACCTATGGAATCCATGCCAGCAACATCCAAATTTTGACTTCCCCGTCCCTTTAAAATTTTTATCATCAAGTGTTTCTTAACTTTGCAAGATTTAAACTTGAGCTCTATTCGAGGCAGAATTGACAAGGTATCTGCTGTAATTAATATATTTTTATTATTTGGATAGTCTTTTTGTCTAAAACATTTTTTCAGAATAATAGATCCTTACCTCGATATTTTTATAGGTTCGAGTAAAAATCCTTTCGGAAGTGAAATTACTAGCGCGGATTTTCACAACGGCGGATGTGGCACAGGTCGCGCAATAGCAAGCAACCGTTCAAAACCGAATTCCATGTCGTAATTCAGGGTTTTCTTTTCGTAAAACTCAAAGGAATGTTTACAAAAGAAATATTTATCGAAACAGAACAACAAAAACTAGAAATATTTGGTAGAAACGAACAATAACAACTTTTTCGTCCATTTTCAACGGGATTCACCTCCGCGGCTGTCTTCTTCATACCTGATTAGGAGCACGTTTGAAAATGCCTAATGCTCACTTTAAATGTCTCGTAAGCAGCTGGCTTGTCCATCACTTGCTTGTGACCATACACCCTTATCATACCACTTTGCGCAGGCATCCTTACCAGCACGATGGATTATCTTTGCCGGAGACGTAGAAGCTGCAAGTGGGGTGGACGGATTTGCCTGCAATATGTCCTAATCAATACTCCACTCTGAAAAGCCTCCGTGAGCATGAGAGGAAGAAGCATGTTGAGTCGTCGAGCCATCTAGCCCTCGACTATGCGTTCGGAATGTGACGCTGGTTTCTATACGACAAAAAGCTGTTGAGCACTTTTGAGTCCAGTCAACGAAGTATAAAGTGTAAATCGTTATCACCCAATGCTTATTAATGCTTAGGCTTAGGCAATACTCAATGCCTTTTTAATGCTCCTCAGGCAACACCGACAAGGTCCAGGCTCTAAACGAATATCTGTCAAATCAGATAAAAAAATTCCGATCGAAGAGAAGAACGAAAAGCTCGCAAAAATTGCCAAGTCCAAAAATACCCCAATCAGAGAAGCTTCTGAAAATTAGCGACTCGAAAGTAAAAAGGCACGAAATGCTTTGCTGGCGCAGGAAAGAACACAGAAGAGAGCCGCGGAGGTGAATCCCGTTGAAAATGGATGAAAAAGTTGTTATTGTTCGTTTCTACCAAATATTTATAGTTTTTGTTGTTCTGTTTCGATAAATATTTCTTTTGTAAACATTCCTTTGAGTTTTACGAAAAGAAAACCCTGAATTACGACATGGAATTCGGTTTTGAACGGTTGCTTGCTATTGCGCGACCTGTGCCACATCCGCCGTTGTGGAAATCCGCGCTAGTGAAATTCGTGAAATTCGTAAAATAAAAAATCGTCGAGATGAAAATCGACGAAATGATTGTCGGCGAAATAAGCGTCGGCGAAATGATCGTCGGCGAAACGAAAATCGGCGAAGTGAACGCACACCCTCTAACCCATGTCCATAAAAAACATACAACTCATTCCACGGCGCTAACTTTAGATGTTTCATCGTGAAAGTATTCTTGTGATATTTTTAGCAGCGGTAGTTCAATCAGAGTGTGAACCCTGAAACTTTCCGAAGCGCTAAAATCAGAATCTCTAAATTTTTGATTCTCAAAAGGCGTCGTGTAGTGTAGTTTTATTTGAGTGATCCCCAATGGGGCGCCGGCGGGAATATTCCATGAAAACGATCAAAACCTCATTATTCTATCTTCCCCGTCTTTGATAACCTTTTTATCTAAAACATGTTTACATAAAAAGCAAACTCTTTTGGGTCGCCAATTTCCTAGGAACCTCTGCGGATTTAAATAGTTCTATTTTTTATTTGTTTTTATAATTCTTTCTTTGTTTAATTTTTTCATAAATTTATAACCAACCTGATATCTTGCCCATCCGCCGTATTCCCCTCCACCTCGATCACCAACTCTTCGGAGCCCTGAATTGCAAAAACTGGAACAATCAACAAATCGAAAAGAAACACGTGAGAAACGAATGAAAAAATGGGAATATCCTACATTCAATAGCCTTGTTTTTTGGATTGGAGAACTTTCTAGTGACTGCAAAGAAAGGATGATATTATTAGGGATAATTATTTTTTTTCGGAAATTTGACGAATCTGAAACATTTTTCTCGCAATGTCTAATGAACCCTTCCTAATCAGTGATCATTTTTGCCATTTGAAAAATTTATGCGTTAATTTCAATAAAGATTATTGATATTGGTTTATAAATGGAACACATTTTGTTCAGTCTTTTTTGCTGCCTACAAAATTAATAAGCAAACTTAATACTTTTATTATGGTTTAAATTGCTCACATCTAATTTAATTCGGACTTTTCCGCTCCGAGTTTCGCCCTTCTGTGTGTGATTTTGCACATGGAAGCACGGACTATTAAGAATAATTCTCCTATTTAATATCGGTTTATAAATGGAACACATTTTATTCAGTCTTTTTTTTGTTGCTTACAAAATTAATAGGCAGATTTCGGGAGTGTGCGCCTAGTAATCCGGAATTTCCGCATTTTCTTTGAATTTCTGCGATCGATTTTGGGCATTTTTCCGTTAGTACAGCTATTAAACTCAACAAACTTTAAGCAAAAAAATGTTTTAGCTTTTCTTGATTTTAGCAAGATGCCAGAATTTTTTAATTTGCTGAAGTGCCGATGTAATAGTCTATCAATATAAGAAGCTCAAGTTACTTACATCATGTTCGAGCAGTTTAGTCCTTTCCACCATCACCACCCCGGTGGCCGAATCAGGGACAAAAGCTCCGGTGCTCACTCGCACGCATTCGCCTAAAAGTTTTTATTTGTGTAAAACATTATGAACAAAAATAATTGGTTGTATCTGGTTTTGATGCCAGCCTTAATGACCTTAAGGATTGTTTCGGGTTGAGAAAAAATGTTTTGGAAGAAATGGGCTAGCTTGATGACTCGAAAACCCGTGATTTCAGCGTATCGCAGTGTTTTTTATTTTACATCCGTATACTGTTTATTTGATTTTTGTAAACTGGGTTTTGGACATTTATCGTATGTCAAAAGAACGAAACCAATTTATTTGGCGAGCTGAAAAAGAATAAGTGAATTTCGCGAAAAACTCAGACTTATCCGGCCTCACATTGGGTTTAGAAAAAAATCTTTTGAAAGATGTAAGCTACCCTGTCAATGGAACCACCATAGTCAAGGCCGTTGGTCTATGTTCTTTTTTATTTTTTTTATTGCAGTCCCCTTTTTAGGTTCTTCGCTATCATGGATACTCGACATCGTGAATTTAAACGTGAAACTAGCTTTGACGCCTGGGGAATTTCGAAAGAAATGTTACAGAGGAAACCCGAGAGCCGGGGGATTGCCGGGAGACTAATCAGCGCTTCGTAGGACAGATTGATAGCGTATTATGTTAATGTTAAATACGGTAAAATGGACAGTGATAAATGGCTGATAAAATCTATAATCAGGCCTTTCGCGCCGGTTAATTCATTACTAATACCAGTATTCCACGCGGCTCGTTTTCGGGTTTTAGAAAAAAGTGTTCCGACGAAAAGGCCAGTCGTGAAAATGGCAAAACTGATCATTCGTTCCTCATCGCGAGCTCATCAACTATTATAGTATTCGATTAAACGTTGTTTTTCTAGTGAGAATACTGTAAATCTAAAAACATTGACGAGCCATATCTGGACGCGCCGCAGTAAGGCCACTCGTGAATTTCGACGAAAAGAAATGTGTTGCATCGTGCCGGGCGGATTGCTGGCAAGTTATAATAAATGCGCGGAAGAACCTTTTCAAGGAGCCGGAACTTTAGGAGTTTTCTCTTTTCTGATACACCACGTATTTTTGGCCTTTAAACCCCAAAAATCACACGAATTTATTTCGTTACGGCGACGAACGATTTTCGATAAATTTTGCAGAAAAAAATGTTTCGGGACAGACTACAAAGAGGTGACCGGATCTATATGTATTTTGATTGTATGGAGGGTTTTGTGCATAGTCTTTTTTGCCTTAATATTACGCTATTAACGTAAACGACCCCGTCTTTTAGGTGTTTCAACCGAACGTGTCGAGCCTGAGAATTGCAATGGCATCAATTTCCCCTTTTGAACTGTGTATCGAAAAACGTGACGTAATAGGTTTACCTGGATTGATGGTTTTATTACATGGCGAGCCGGCTGTTGAGAAGCCAATGACGGTGCGTTTCCCTGGCGGATCAGAGGCTGAAAATCACAAAAATTTGAAAGGAACGGTCAAGGCAAGCTTCTGGATTTTCTTGGCCATGGAAAAAATCCCTTGATTTTGGCAGAATTGTGACACGCAGACCCCACCCGGTTTTTCCATTGCGTAACTGATTAAGGCTCTTTTAAAGCTTTAACATTTTAAAACGCGGCGTGTGCGTCGCGGTTCAGGAAAGTAGTAGGATTCGCATTAGTATCCATAACATAAATCTGGGCCAATTAATAACGACCGTATACGAATTAACGCGTCGCATCGGTGTTACATATTTTTTTGTTGAATTCCGGACTGTCAGCGCGACGCGAAGACTTGGTATGGTTCTCGCTCTGGCCTTCTCTCTCTCTCTCTCTCTCTCTCTCTCTCTCTCTCTCTCTCTCTCTCTCTCTCTCTCTCTCTGGCTCTCTCTCGCTCTCTCTCGCTCTCTCTCTCTTTCTCTCGCTCTCTCTGTTTCTCTCGCTCTCTCACTCTCACTCCCTCTCTCTCTCTCTCTCTCTCTCTCTCTCTCGCTCAGATTCATTAAAATACTTTACCCAAGACAGCATATCCATCTTTGATCGAGGTGCGCACCTCCGGGACGTTATAAGCAGAACAGATATCTTCAGCCACCACGTCACCTGTAACCTCCTTTAATCTAAAGTTCTTAAAAAAAATACATTTCGGTACTAAATCTGTTTATTTCTGCACCCTACTCCTGAAATTAAGAAATAGATGGCAACGCCTCACGCGTAGTTTTTCGAAACCCAGTTAAATTTAGTTTTTGAAACGATGTTTCAACGTTTTTTCAAACTGTTTTAGGAAAGTAAAATTTAATACCTTACCTATATCAATTTCCCAAACGGCGACGCGTTTTGTCGTGACGAGCGTGGCCTAGGAAATATAAAATTGAAACAGAGCTGGGAGCTAACTACGCAACTGAAATTGGCGTCAACGGTGGGTTTGAGACTACCCGGAAAGTTGAAATATAATTTTTCTGACGCAAGCATGCTGATGCGAAGTTTTTGATTACCCTTAACATTGACCTTGAAATGACCATAATAGCTAAAAATAGCCAATGACAGAAAAACATTAAAAATGGATGGCAAAGTCAGGCAAAAGGCAATGGCGCGTCGCTGTCGAGATTTTCATAGATACTTGATGGATCCGGCCGATTTTCGCACTTACCCTCCTATTTTATTTTTTTAAACAAACCTTCCTCATACCGTATTACCATTAAAGGGATACCCAAGGTTTTGGCGGCAAATATATAGTTATGGATTCCGGGCAGTACAAATGACGCTCGAATTTTGTGCGGCAATGGGCCCCCCAATGCCGCACAGAATTCGGCCACCTTTCCCTCTTGTGGCGTCCCCATCCCATCCAATGGCTTGCCACTATGGCCTAATGGATAGCATCCAGGCCTACCAGACGGGGGTCCCGGGTTCGACCCCCGCCCGCGTCATGGTTTTTCCTTTTTGAGTATCCCTTTAACAAAATAGAAAATTAAGAAGTAAAGTGTTTTAGATTCAGCTAAAATTTGATAAAGTTTTTGCTATTTATTTAGAATTGAAAAAGATAAAAGTGTGATGCCATACATTGGTAGGGGATTTTAGGTAGTTCAAAATGGTGAATGCCGATGGAATTCGTCAAATCCATCTATTTTACCTTCGATTTCGACGAAAAACTATAGAAGCCTTGGGCTTATACATATTAAAAGGATTCCGGTACCTCATCCTCAATGACACGATACGCCTCGTCCATCGGCAATGCTGGCCACGGTGATACGCGATGACGATCGATCACGCCCATTTTTTTAGCTCTACAAAATTCGAAACTAAAAACAAATGTTTAAAGAGGGCGTGGTGATTACATGTCGTCATGGCCCCGTATGCCGCCTAATTGTTCAATTCGGGGATTTCAGGTCAATTTTAATAATTAAAAAGTCTAGGATGATCAAAATGGCCTGATGATTCCCGAAAACACTTCAGCATTTTTCAATACAAGCGTTTTCACGTCGAAATAAGGGCTAAAGAGCACGCGGTACGATCGCGGTGCGGCCGTATCTGGCAAATTGCCAAGAGGAACTGGTGAGTGGAACAGACTTTTTCCGCCTTTAAGGGTTACTATTGGTACAAAAGGAGTTTTGTGCCGACGCCTAAAAAATGTTTCAGAACAAGTAGAGGTTGTGACGCGAATTCTGGCGAATGATTCATTAGGTAAAGGTTTTCCGAAACAAAATTTCCATAAAATTTAAATTTCGAATAATAAAAATGCATAGAAATTATTGAAATCCTACTAGTAATGAATAGATTAGCGGGCAGCTTGAAAAGCGATTGGACGTGAGACGCGACAACAAAAAAAAGAATGTTCCGAAAATTCATGGATAGGGACGTCGATTCTCCCGAGCAATGCGGTACGCTTAATGTTGACTAATGTATTGTTGTAGTATGTGTTATACTAAAGTATTGACTAATACGCGCCTAATCTTGCAGTTGCCAGATCCATAGTTTGGCCAAGCGAATTGAAACGAATCGGTTTAAAAATAGTAAAAAATGTTAGTGATACTAGTAGTGATACGCGTAATAATTATCAAAATAATAAGTGAAATTTGAGGGTTATTTCTGACAATAAAATCGGTAAATATGCCAAAGGTTAAAAAATAATCTTACGAAGAAACTAGTGGTTAGAACCCCAAATAAACCAAATAATGGAGCGGTAAATAGTCGCTCTTTCCCTCTTTTCTCTCTAACATCTCTGCTTTACCATGTCTAATTTCAACTCTAACAAAAATCCGTTTTGTTAAACCGTTTTTAAATATAGGTGAAATTTACAGAGGCTGACAATAAGATCAGGGAAGCAAAAAGGTTAAAAACAATGTGGCAAATAAATTAGAGGTTAGGAGCCCGATTGAGCTAAATATAACTGTACGGACATTATAATTTTACATGATTTCAAGTTCACTAAAAATACTTTTCTTAAATCGTTTTGAAATATAGGTGAAATCAACAGATCGAGAGCGCAAAATGGAACCGATCAGCGGCTGGGCAGTGAGAAGAGCCAAAGAACACGACAGGAAATACGGCGCATTCTCTGATCTCCTTTTCCCCATCCCCCTATCTATCTCCATCACAACACCCAATAGATACAAACAACAATTCCTGACGATCGATTTGCTGGCACCATGGCAATAGGCGAACTAAGCATTCAAAGAGCCAGAAAAGATGGCTGAGAGTTGAAACATCTTATTGGATCTGGCGGAAAGTCAATTTTTTTGAGCTCAGAAAGGCCCACTATCGCCATAATCATTATTTTAATATTGTTTTTAAAGCGATGAAATATATTTCAAGTGGAAAAACGGTCGACAAACCCTTAAAAAGTTAAAATGCGAAATCTTGGTCAAGAAGTGACCATTTTTGTTCGAAAAATCGATATTTCTGTACTTTTTAATCAAATTTGTAAAGTTTTTAAGCTTAGGAATAGTAAAAACCGTTTTGGAAGCACTTCCACTTTCTATATTCGCAAAATTGAATCGTTAGAAAAAAGTTGGTTCCCTCTCCCCCGCTAATGCGAAAGAACCGATTGAAAAACGTCTGGTTTTTAAAAACAGCCTAAGTCAACGCCCCGATTTATTTTTATTTATGAAAACGCGTTTTGAGGGATTATACTATTTTATTTGCCTGTCATCGTGGTCGCTCCTAAAACACGATATTTTACACTTGTCAAGCAGGGCCAAAACCAATTTCTAGGTCGAGGTATCGATTTGTTGCCAGCGAAGAAGTAACGCCGATTAATTACTCAAAACGGCAGGAAATAGGGTTAAGCGTTGAAACATCTTACTGTAAGAGCATGAAGGTCAATTTTCCCTTTCGTCCAGAAATGCCTAATATCGCGATAGTACTTACTTAAATTCAAATTTAAAAAATGAAACATACAAATACAAAATACAAAATACAAAAAAGAAACAAAATTTAAAAATAAGAAGTTTAAATTCGCGGGAAAATCCGTCAGGTTTGAGCCGAAATCGATATGTTTTGGATTTTAAAATAATTGTCTTTGCCATAAATATTTTATTTTGGGTTTTTTTTTGCCTGAAACTAAACTGCAGCGTATATTTCCTGACGCCTTATAAAACGATCTTCTGGGTTTTTTAGATTTGCCGAAAGCTGGATTTCAAAATGGAAGTGGACTCTAGTTCCTTAGAAAAGTGGACTCTAGTTCTATAAACCCTAGAAGCCATGACCGTCAGAATCTGGTTAAACAAACGAAAGTTTTTCCGGTTCTCGAAAATTACCTAAAAATAGGTGTTTCGCCGAGAAGCCCCTTTTTCGGCAATTGTCTCATGGTAGAACGCCCATTTGACTGACTTTGCTATATCCACATCCGTTCCATCCGCGATCCGTCCGTGGTTACCGGCACTTTCCAGCCCCTTTAAAATCAAATCGTCAATAGTAGTTCGAGCATGTCAAAACTAATTCATATTAAACAAGATATGCGTTCAGTACCGTACTACCGTGAATTTCTTACTAAAATTTTGTGAAACATGGAAAAGCTTTGCGGATCTGGGTTAAAGAAAAAAAGTATGTTTTGTCCAGAAGCCACTCCCACAAGCGTTCTTTTGGCGCATTCTCACAGCCCACCATAAAATTTGCTTAATTTTTCGCTTCCAGCGGCTTCGAAGAAAGCGGGAACGTCATTAGGCGGCTTCCAGCCGAGTCTTAGTCTCCATCCATTTTTTGCAAGCCCCTTGAAATCAAAAGGTCAACAATGACCTGGGCCCATCCAATTCACATGAAATAGCTTCCACTTTAATGCGAAAAAGCATAGCGATGAATAGGGCAAAGCATTAACACTTGGAAGTACAAGATTTTAAAAATTTCAGTCCTCTTCTTGATATTTTTTTGCTGTTTTAGAAACCGTAGAGGAGATTGTGTAAGTGTATTTGCAGCGTGGTTACGTCCAGCACAATGCTGAAACCACGGTCAAACCTACGTGGCTACAAAATACGATTTCTGGGTTAAGGTATCGATTTGTTGTGAAGGAAAAGGGACAAGTCAATGGTGGCCGATCATCTGTCCGATTTTCGAACAAGCGACTTTTCGAACAGGTGTCTTTTCGAACAGATGACTTTTCGAATAGATGATTTTTCGAACAGATGACTTTTCGAACAGATGATTTTCGAACAGGTGATAGCGGATCCAAGTCAATTATTCAACAACCAATCGAGGTAATATGGTGAAGGTTGGAAACACTGGCTTTTCAAAGAATTTAATTATCACGAAAGACCCCGGTCAGTGTTGGGATTTCAAGCCGGAAAAACACAGTTAGCACAGTTTTTGGCGCTTTCGCATGATCGGGGGTATATAATTATTTCCTAGTAGTTGAGAAATGCCTTAGATGCGCAAATTTGAGTTCTTTTTAACGTCCAAATTATCTAAATCGCTGAAAAAAATTTAATCTGAAATTTTAATCGTAAATCTATTGGGCTTACTCGAAAAATCGATTTGTTTGAAGTGATGGTTATTTGGAAAATCTGTGGAGGCTCTGAGGGATCCATTCTTGTCAGGGATCTGCTGTTGCGAGCCATCGATGATTAGGCACCTAAATTCAGATACCCGGCAGTAATAATTAGCAACATTAAAATTTTAAACCGTTCAGAGGAATTTAGCTCCTTTTTCTATTTAAAAAGCCGATGCGAGCTGAGGTTTTTTGAACTTTTTAATTCGGCTACTTCACGCGTCAAAGATAATCCTTAAACAGCGGTTCCAACATAGCTACCAACTAAGATTTCTAGGTTAAGATATCGATTTGCGACTAGGAAGCGAACCCATTCCGTTCCTGATCCGAATTCACCTGTGTTGTGATCCTAGCTTTCACAAGGAACACACACTTCGTGTCGACAATCGGATATCTAATCGACACGGAATATCGCAATAAACCTTTATCCCGATGTAGTCGCCAACAACGCCAATCTTGATCACAATCCTTGGAATGAAGTACAATCGAGCGATAGTAGATCAGCAGCCAAGCGGGTTGCAGAAAAAGCCAGATAAATCCAGAATGACCAAACGGGCCTACAATCTGGTGGGGCTGGAAAGGGTCGGGAGACTACAGGGTCCAAGTGTACATAGTAGTCTCGCGGTAAGACACATTACGACGGTAAAGGCCAGCGCCCACAACACCTCCCCCCTTAAAAGAAAAGGTTGTTGTGTGCACTTTACAACAAACAACAACGGGTCAAACAAAAATGAATTTTTGTGACACCAAAACAATATGAACGAGAAAGATACAGACAATTCAGCTTATTCCTTCTTGTTCACGTGGGAGACCATTTTCGGGGTGCCCGACGGGTACGCGTCGGCATTTCCCGTGACGCCACATCCTTCTTTGGAGCACTTGACGACGCCATTTGCCCTCGTGTAGACGACTTGTCGATTCGAGCAGCTTCCTTGGCCTTGTCACTCGTATCGCGCGCATCCGGGGCTCGTTTACGGAGCTGATTCGCGTGACGTGTCCATGTTAGGCCATCATCCAACTTGACCTTGTAGATTGTGCGCGCCATTTTTGCAACAATCATCCCTCGGATCCACGTCGTCTTGGCACCGCGATAGTCCTTGACGTAGACCAGATCCTTGACAGAAAACATTCGGTCTTTCGCGTTCCAGTGGCGATTGAATTGCGCCTCTTGCTTGAGATCCGTGCGTTTTCGTCCTTCATTCACCTTCTCCATTGAAGTGGCTCGCGGTTGGAAGAGCGTCAGCGGAACACGCAGCTTTCGACCCAGGAAAAGTTCAGCGGGAGACTTTCCATTC